TGAGAATCCGCTGACAGTCTGATGGGAACTCCTTTGTAGGCGACTGTCCCTTTGGCTCTTGCTGCTTCTAGAATTCTCTCCTTCATTTTAATCTTGGCTAGTGTAATTAGGATGTGCCTTGGTGGGTTCCTCTTTGGGTCCATCTTCTTTGGGACTCTGTGAGCTTCCTGGATTTCCTGGAAGTCTATTTCCTTTGCCAGAACGGGGAAGTTCTCCTTTATTATTTGTTCACATAAGTTTTCCACTCGTGGCTGTTCCTCTTCCCTTTCTGGTACCCCTGTAATTCAGATGTTGGGACATTTAAAGATGTCCTGAAGGTTCCTAAGCCTCTCCTCATTTTTTTGAATTCTTGTTTCTTCATCCTTTTGTTTGGTAATTTTTTCCCTCTTTCTGGTCCACTCCTTTGATTTGAGTCCCAGTTTCCTCTCCATTACTATTGGTTTCCTATGTATTTCCATTCATTTCAATTAGTTTAGCCTTCATATGTTCCCCTAATTTGTGGCTAAAATCAACCAGTTCTGTGAGCATCCTGATCACCAGTGTTTTGAACTGTGCATCTGAAAGTTTGACTATTTCTTCATTGCTTAGATTTACCGGCTCTGGGGCTCTGAGTTGTTCTTGAGCCATGTTTTGATCTGTTTTGTTACGTATGAGGAGCGGAGCCTTAGATGTTCACCAGGGCAGGGCCACCCAGGTCGCTGGTTTGTGACGCTGGTGTATGTGGGGGCGGGGTCAGAGAGGGACAATAGCGGTCCCCTCTGCTGTTTCCTGCCACTGGTGCCTGCACGGTCTGTCTCACTGCTTGCTCCTTCACCGGTTTATCTGCTCCCGAATGTGTGACCATGGTCAGCCCTCAGTGAGTCTACTGCCTTGAGCCCTCAGTGGGTCCACCGGCTACTCCACACCTGGGATCCGCCCACAGCTGCCGGTGCACCTGGGTTGCACACCCAGGTTGGTCTGGTGGGTCTTTCCTGCCTGACTCCGCTCTGCCCCTCTTACTGGTTTGGCTGAAGGGCATTTGGTGTCTAGCACATGGAAAGGCCTATTAAAAGTTCATTTTTTAGCCCTGGCTGGTGTAGCTCAGTGGATTGAGTGCGGGCCTATGAACCACATGATTGTGGTTCAATTTCCAGTCAGAGCACATGGCTGGGTTGCAGGCCAGTTCCCAGCAGGGGACTCATGAGAGGCAACCATACATTGATATTTCTCTCCTCTCCTTCCTTTCCTCTCTAAAAAAAAAAAAAAAAAATTAAACTTCATTTTTTATAAATATGCTAATCTCATGAAAGCTTTCATTCACACAGGAATGTCTCCTACAGCATCCCTAATACCACTATGCTGCCTCTGGCAGGACAGAAAATTCCCAGGCTATCTAGGCAGCCTGTGCTAGAATTGCTCTTTTTTTATTTTCCTTTTGCCCTCCTACACCTGGTACCCCCATTCTCTCCAGTAATCCCTTCCCTTACTTTATTTCCATGGGTTATGCATATAAGTTCTTTGGCTTCTCCATTATGTATACTGTTCTTAATAGCCCCCACCGGGGCCCATCCATTTTGTGCTTCTTAATCCCTGCACCTTTCCCTCCCATTTTCCTCTTCCCCCTCCCAACTGATAACCCTCCAAAAGATCTCCATATCTACGATTCCATTTCTGTTCTGGTTGTTTACTTAGTTTGTTATTTGGATTCAGTTATTGATAGTTGAAGATTTGTTGCCCTTTTAATGTTCATCATTTTGATCTTCTTTTTCTTATATAATTCCCTTTAGTATTCATATAGTAATGACTTGGTAATGATGAGCTCCTTTAGTTCTACCTTGTCTTGGAAGCACTTTACTTGCCCTTCCATTCTAAATGATAGCTTTGCTGGACAGAGTATTCTAGGTTGTAGGTCCTTGCTTTTCATCACTTTGAATACTTCTTGGCAGTCCCTACTAGGCTGCAAAGATTCTTTTGAGAAATCAATCAACAGTCTTATGGGAACACCTTTGTAGGTAACTATCTGCTTTTCTATTGCTGTTTTTAAGATTCTCTTTATGTTTAATCTTTGGCATTTTAATTATGAGGTGTTTTGGTGTGGTCCTCTTTGGGTCCATCTTGATTGGGACTCTCTGTGCTTCCTGGACTTGTATGTCTATTTCCTTCACTAAATCAGGCAAGTTTTCTTTCATTATTTTTTTCAAATAAGTTTTCAATTTCTTACTCTTTCTCATCTCCTTTCGGCACCCCTATGATTTGGATGTTGGTACATTTTGAGATGTCCCAGAAGTTCCTACGTCTATTCTTGTTTTCTTTTCTTTTTTTTTAAGATTTTAAAATTTATTTATCTTTAGAGGGGAAAGGAAGGAGATAGAGAAATATCAATGTGTGGTTGCCTCTCATGTGTCCCCCACTGGGAACCGGCCCGCAACCCAAGCATGTGCCCTGACTGGGAATCAAACAGCGATTGTGTGGTTCACAGGCCCGCGCTCAATCCACTGAGCTACACCAGCCAGGGCCATCCTTGTTTTCTTGAATTCTTTTTTCTTCCTGCAGTTCTGATTGATTTTTGCTTTCTTGTTTTCCAAATCGTTGACTTGATTCTCAGCTTCATCCCCTCTACTGTTCGTTCCTTGAAGATTTTTCTTTGTTTTCCTTAATGTAGCCATCATTTCTTCCTGGGTCTTTTTTATGCCACTGCAGTAGTACCCAGTGAGTTGCTGGAGCACCCTAATAACTGTTGTTTGAACTGTGCGTCTGATAGGTTACTTTTCTACATTTCACTTAGTTGTTTTTCTGGAGTTTTGTTATGTTCTTTCATTTGGGCTGTATTTCTTTGTCTCTTCATTTTGGCAGCCTCCCTGTGTTTGTTTCTGTATATTATAGGTAGAGCTGCTTGGACTCCCTGTCTTAGTAGTGTGGCCTATTGTAGAAAAGCACACCTGTTAAGTTGTATGGGGCGGAGCCTTAGGTAATTGCCCAGAAGGGGTAACCCGTGCTATAGCTCTGTCACTCTGTGTGGGGACATAGCAACAGAGGGGACAGTGCTGTTATGTGGCCTCTAGAGTTTTGCCCAGGAGAAAGCTGTCTCCCAGCACTCACACTTCACTTTCTCCCCATGTGCCACTAATGCCCTTCCAACTGTTGCCCTGGTGCTGAATCCCAGAGGGTGTGGGTCTGCGTGAGACTTAAGTCTATATAGCAGGCCCTGTAAGAGAAGTCTTGTGAGAATCCCTCAGTGTCTTCCACTACCCCAATCCTTACTGGTTTTTACCAAAGTTATGGGGACATATTTTCTTGGCACTAGAACCCTTGGCTGAGTGGTCTGGACTGGGGCTGGGATCCCTTGCTCCCAAGGTATCCCTCTCATTTTTTATCTACCACATATGGGTGTGGGACCACCCATTCCATTTCCATGCCTCTCTGTGCCACTCTGCTTTCTCTACCCCTCCAACCTACTTGGATGAATGTGGTTTCCTTAAATCCGTGGTTGGACTTCCACACAGCTTAATTTTCTGACAATTCTGGGTGATATTTACTTTGTAGTCTGGTGGTATTTTTTTTACCTAGTGGTGCACGGAGGTGAGGTGTACAACGCCTCCCACGTTTCACCCATGCCTCCATCTTGACTGGACATCTAGAATCTTTCTTATAAAAGTCCTTAGAGAGTTGACACTTGCTGCTACTTCTCTTCTGATCTTGGTTCTGCCCCCAAATAAGAACCCAGAAAAGTCAAATCCCTTCTTTGATCTAAGAGGTATGATAATTCTCCTTAGTTTACTTCCCCCAATACAAAACATCGCCAGGTCTGTCAGCCATTCCACATATGACTTGGTTCTAAAACTTCTCACGATATACTTGATTGGTGTACATCTCTAAGTGGGATGGAACCCAACTATTCAAAAGAGCAGGATTTAACAGGTGTTTTATGCAACCAGATGTCCCTCCCTGCCAGTGCATAGCAAACACAACATGAAGGCACCAAGTCTTTCTCACATAAACTGATTTAGAGTAAGGTCTTCTGTCCTGCCCTGAACCATGGGACCTAGCAACTGAGTTTTGTATGTTGACTTTAAAAGACACTGTAGGAGATGCAGGTAGCTCCAAGAAGGGAAGGATATAAGAAATGCTCAGTTTCAGAATTACATATTTATGGATACACTCATTTTCCAAGATCTATAATGATGAGATGGATATTAGTCCAGATTTTGTTTAGGAAGTTATAATATTAATGGAGCAACAGTTTTTGACCATAACCTACTGATGGTAATATTAATTTCCCTCTAAATGAAAATGAATGTACTCATCTACTATAAAAACAAAATGAAATGACATGGGGCCCCTCACGATGCTGTAAAACAATCTGTACTTAGTTTATTAATGAAGTAATCAGAGTAATAATACTAATACTCACATTTATATCATAATTTCAGATTACATTTCTTTTCTTACACTCTCATGCACACACATTACATATAGACACAAACACATATATGTATGTTTTAATCTTCCCAGATACTCTGTAAAGCACCATCACTCCTCCTGCCTCTTGGTCACAGGTGAGGAAAATAAGAACCTGAAGGTGTAAGTGATAAGGTTATTGAATTCATGACAGAGGCAAGTTCAGAATTGAGATGCTTTGAATTTTGGTCCAATGCTATTTATTCTAAATTATATTTCCTTACCATTGGTTGACTTTTTTCTATTGCATAAGTTAAAGTTGGCTATTCTTAAGAAATTCTGTGTTCTAAAAAAACATGGCATGAATATGGGAAATAGATATCTTACTTACTGTATTACCTGTGTGTTAAGTTTCTATCACTAAGCTTTTAATTTTGAAAATAAGACCCCTTGCCCACCAATTCCCACTTCCTACATGCTTCTCCCTCAAAAGGTACTGAAGGTCTTCTTAGAAATTCTTTTTCTTTTAGGAACATAGAGTACTAGCTGAAAAAAATAACATTACTAAGTTAATTGAATTGGGGCAAAATGGCCCAGGACTTTTACTTTGAAGGGACGCTTACCTCGGCTGGACACCTTATTTCTATTGAGTGCAGCAGTTGGCTGATGTCGGTATGGATGTATCCCCAATTCCTGTGCATGACTCACAGTTCCTAGTAAAGATTCAGGGTCCCCAGGTCTGCCAGTACTCAGGAGTAGGGGGCTGTCATGGCAACCTTTGGTCAATGCATTTGAACTCTTCCTGTCTGGAAAGCCATCCTTGGCCCCCTCGCATGAGCATTCCTCTTCCATGCTCTCTGAAGGCATGAGTACCGGCTGGTGAGCATAACCATGGGTCGGGCTGGGTGAGGAAACCTGTGAGATACATTCTTGTGCTCTGATTTGTAGAAGGTGCTGAGGGCTGGTGTGGTGGTGGTGATATGAGTCAGTATTCTGATATGGTAAAGCCTGGTGCTCTGTCATACTCTGTCCCCCAAGATTGGGAGCCAGACTCCCAGCATCCCCCTGGTTCATATGCCTAAACAGTTCTTGGTATTCTTGATGCTGCTGTTGTTGTCGCTGTTGCTGTTGCCTTTTAATGAGCTGTGCAAACTCTGCTGGGGGCAGCCGAATGTCCGAGTGGCCGGTGAGCGAATGCCGGGGAGAAAGCAGTCCTTGGAGAATGTGGGGTACCTGCTGGTGTCTTGTATAGTCTGGCGGCGTGGGGGACAGCAGGGCCTGCTGCAGTGCTGACGTGGTATAATGAGGTGGCTGCTGATGTGCACTGGGAGGGAAGGTGGGGAATTGGTCAAGTGGAGGGACTTTCAGGGCTTGGGTTGTAGGGAACCCCACTCCTGTTGAAGGGCTGTAGCTGCTGGGGGAACCCCGGGACTGGTCCGAAAACAGGTAGGGGTGTAAATGCGCCTGGTCGTAGTTAGCAGGGGAGAACCGATTCACGTTCAAGCTGCAGACACAAAAGGGAGTGAGTACCAGGCATCCATGTAACAAGTGCACTGTGCTCCCCTGGAGAACAGCTACTCCTCTTTCTCAGTAGGGAGCTCCACTGATACAGAGAACTGTGGGGTGACAGGGAAGATGCGGATGCATGCACCAACCCGACTCATCCCTGCACTCACTCACCCAGTAATGTTTAAGGGATTTAGGGCACTGTGGTCATAGACCCAGCTCTAGGTTAAAGGTAGTCACTATCTTACAGCATCATTTAAGCTACTAAGAGGCACCAATCTCTTAGAATACAAGTGACAGAGAGGGAAGAATCCTCAAAGAATAGACAAGGAAAACTGACCTTTTAACCAGCTTCTCTAGTAGACCATTATCTTCTTTGCAGAAAAATAGTAAGATAGCTTTGTGATTTTCCTCTCCTGTCTCATTAGCATTTTGATCCCTTATTTGGTCAATAAATAAGTTTCAAGTTCACCCCAAACCCACCACTCTGATTTAGAAAGGGTGAAACAAGCATAGCCCAGTCAAACCCATTTTTCTTCCCTCCTCCTTTCTTGCCCTGCTAAGGGGCTTTCTCCCTCCTCAATCACCTGGACAGCTGGCTGCGCAACTTTAGGTAGCCTTACCTGTGGGCCTCTGCACTGTCAGCACTCAGCTGCTTGGACAAGGGCCGGTGGCCATAACTGAAGGTAGCCATCAGGTTGGCACGATGCTGCATCTGAATCTGACTGGCACTGGGGCTAATGGAGACGCCCCGCCCAGCAGAGCCTGCAGTTGTCCCTGGCATGTTGTTAAGCATGTCAACAGGTTCCTGTACTTGGATGGTCACCTGCTGGGACTGGGCAGGCTGCTGTATGCCCAAGCAGGTGAGTGCCACATTGGGAGGAGGAGAACAGTTCTCAGGTGGCTGCTGGAAGATTGCACTGCAGGAGGCTAAGCCTTGAAACTGGGAGGGAGATGCAGCACCTACAGAGAAAGACACCTCAGAGTGACTAAATGGTACGTGCCGGCTGGAAGTAATGGAGGCCAATGAAGATAACAAACCATACCATTTAGAGCAGTACCTCTCAAATTTTAGTGTGCATAAGGCTCATCTGCAGGACCTGTCAAAACAGATTTCTGGGCCCTACCCACAGAATTCTGATTTAGTAGGTCAGGCTGGGGCCCCATGGATTAGTATTTCTAATAAGTTGCTGTGGAAGTTGGTCCATGGATTATGCCATGATTTAGAGCAGTGTTTTTCAAACTCTAATATGCATATAAATGGCCTGGGGGTCTTGCTAAAGTGCAGCTTCTGATTTAGCAGGTTTGGAATGGGGCCTTAGATTCTAATTTTCCTGCTGAGGTTGTTGGTCAGGAAACCCTGCACCTTGAGTAGGAAGAATATAGAGGCCAATTCAGACTGTCCAGGGGGATCTAGACTGTGTCACATATGTAAGAGATTACCAGTTTCTGAATGCTAAATCCTCATACTGCTGGTCTCTAAAGACCCATACTAATTAGGGTATACTCATCTTTACCTCCATCTAAACGCCCACAAGAGAGGACCCACATGTACAATGGATAACCAAACACAGGCATGAAAATAGGGAAGGTTCTGGTAGGAGCCTTTTATTTTATAGAGTTGGAGGGTGTTTTATTAAAACTATATTAATAGTTAACCTTTACTGAGAACTATTTTATGCCAGAGACTGTTTCAAGTGCATATATTTATTCATGAAATACTATCATCATCCCTACTTTACATTTGAGAAAGCTGAGGTAAACTGAAATTAAATAGCTTATTTGAGGTTTCACAGCTAAGGAGGTGGTAGAAAGAGGCTTGAAGCCAAGGCAGTCTAAGCTAAAACCCACAACTTAAATGCTATCTTATTCTGCCATTCAAATCCATTGCCTGTGGCATTCCAAATGATGGCTCACTTTTTTCATGTGGCATAGTATGGTTCAGTATAAACCTTTCTACTCACCATGAGACTGGATCATGGCACTGTTCATGGGGGGAGGACTATTACTGGGTTGTCTGAAGAGATGATTGTTGGGGTGATTGGGGGGTGGGCTTGATGGCTGAATCCTTAACCTTAAAAAAACAACAAAACCAGATAAGTAAATTTCCTGAGGTGACAGTACAACCTTGAAATTAGCTTCAGCCATATAATACACTTAAGCAGCAGCTATTTCTTCAGTTTTCATAAACCTCCAGTCCATAACAACATACGTAAACCACCCACCACAGTCTACTTAAAAGCTATTCACAGATTACTTTATAGGACTTCCCAGAAAAATAGGCAGAGGTCATTGTGGGCTTGTGTCTGACCTTCTGTATTAGATGTCAGATTACTTTATTCATGTGGCTAAGAAAATGATGTGGCACTGGAAGTCAGGATTTCAGGGAGACTGCTGAAATTTAAATTGGTTTCTCTGCTTTTCAAATAAGTTTTCCAAGATGAAAGCTAAAGTCAGTCAGTGTCTCCCACAGGAGTCAGGCCAAAGACACCAAGCTATAGAGATAATGGCTTAGGCACAGAACAAAATGATTCATTACCTCTGGAGCTGGTGGGTGAGGAGGGCTGGCTGATTTTCACATGTAGCTTGAAGAGGTGGAGAAGGCTGAGGAGGACAGATAGAATCCTAAAACATATGGAGGAAAAGAAAAATAGTTGTGAGAGTGAATATTAACATGAGCTATTCTCAGGGAAAGAAAAGAAGGAATTGTCACTGAGATGTATGCTTTTGTTGTTTGTGGAAAAGTCTACATTTATCCGAACATGTCAACCATGAACATAACTCAATTCCATTTTGATCCACATGATCTCTTCCAAACTTCACAGACGAATCAGCCTGAAAGGAAACTCTAAACAAGTAGGGGAGAGCAAAGAATGAAGACCTACTTGAATCTGTTGTTGGAGAATTTGATGGTGTTGCTCCTGCTGGTATAACATATGCTGTTGCTGAGTCTTCTCCAGGGTTCTTTCATCAATCTGCCCCCCATACATCTTCTGCAGTTGCTCACACTCCTGAAGGGAAAGCAGTTAATACAGATAGGATACAGCCAGGCCCACCCATGCAGTGATATCAACAAACGCAGATCTGCCCTGAGGTCTCATGGGAAGAAAGAGCCACAAGAGAACAGTATACTTGATGAGCAACTCATCCATTTATATAGGAATTTACGTACTAAATATATATTCACATTTTGTTCTGCATGAACTAGTGGAAAATACCAATGATGGTGTCTGTGTATAAGTGAAAATGTCCAGTGTGAAGTCTGTGTACAAAGAATATGCCTCTTGGAATTTGGTCATCAGGAAGGCAGAAAGGAAACTAGTTTAGAAGTCTGAAGGTACACTTCCTTCCTCTGAGAGCACCATTCCCTACCAACTAGAGAGTATGCCAGGTGGTAGCAATGCCAAACAAGCTCCCACAAGACCCAGTGCCCATTCTGAGAGCAATGCAAGGGTTGCTTAGAAGTACCTTCCCTGGTGCTTCCCACTAAAATCCAAGCCCAGAAATTCCTCTGTAATAAACTGCAGAGACAGGAGGAAAACTCAGTCCTGTCATGGGATAAGCAAGTTTGTTCCTGGGGGAAGCTAACCAGAATAAGCAAGCAAAAAACATTAGAAGGCTGTATGGCTTTGAACCTATAAAACTAATACAGTGCTGATGTGAAAAGGATGGAAGTAGTCTCTGTAACCCATGCTTCTCCAGAGATGTGTGCCATCTCTTCCATTACCTGCTGCAACTGTTTGATGCTGCTGTTGTTGCCCAGTCTTTCCAGGTGAGCTTTGAAGGCTTGGATGCTTGCAGCTCCATCTGAGAACCGGCGCACAGGGGAGAAACGCTCTGTAGGGAGGTGCAGGGTATTGGAGTCCTTGTACGTAGAGCTGAATATATGGGAAGAGAAGGTTAGGGGCTAGAACTCAGGTGGTTTGACCAAATCACCTAAGGACTCCTGTTCAAGATGGACACAAAGGTGGCTGGCTGCCCCGGTGCACCTGCATATGATGCCACTTCCATGTCACATACAGAGGCCAGTTGTTACTCTAGTCTGCTCCCCAGTTAGAGGGCTCCAGGTATATAGCTTCCATTTCCACTTACCTTGGGTTGGCTTAATTGCCATGCCTGGTGGGGTCCTGTCCTGGGATCAAATATATCCAGTTCTTACAAATATACCAGGTCAGAAAGAAGAGCTTTTAGATATCCTTCAGGCCAAGCTAATATAAAAACTTACCTATTTTTTTACCCATCATGTCTTTATCTAGTGCTTTTAGAAATCTAAAATTCACTGTTGGACTCAAAGTTTTCCCTGAGCAGTAAGCTCTGTATGACCGGAAGGAAGCTACAGTTAGCTCTGTGGTCAAGGGTCTGGCCTGGAATGAACAGGTTCTGTGCTAGAAGGGCAATAAGAGACTTTTAATCCCCCGGTGGAGATAGTACATTCTTAAGAATGTGGACCTCAAAATCTTACAAAGCAAATAAGGCTACCTACTGTGAAAATTAACCTCTCTTCTAACCTCTTAATGAAAGATCATTCATATGAATTACCTTCAAAAACTCCACTGATCAATCAGAACACAGCCAGTATCTCAGAGAAAGAAAGAACAAGCTATTGATAAGGAATGCCTGAGATAGCATCAGGGTTAGAAGCTAATACCTACTCTCTTGTGACCTAATCAGAAAGAGATGTTTATGGGTTAAGCAGATTAAAGACTGCCAAGGTGGCACATTCCAACAGCTGATGGAAAGGATCAAGGTTTCAAGTCCAGCCAGAGATGATATCACAGTGAACTACGGGTGAAATGAGGTACCACCTAGCCAGTTACTCATTCTGGACTGAAGGAGAACCAAGACTAAGGAAGCAAGTTAACAATCAAGTTCAGATAAAAGGCAGGCAGGGAGGAAGAAGAGTCTGATGACTGTGCAGAGGTCAAAAGAGTTCTGGCGGCAAGTGAAAGCCCTTTATGCCCTTCTTTCAAATGATGACTTCTGTTTCAGACACTACCTGAAGCTTGACACAGTAGTGGACTAACGAAATGAGCATGAATATATATTTGTTTCAGTGACACAAGAGACAAGTGATTTTGGCAGACACACTCCAGAAATGGTGATCATAAAAGCTGCTTTTAGAGGCATTTCCTCGATACTTCTTCTGTTTTAACCTGGGAGTTAAAGCAAGCAAATACTGCTTTCTCCTCAAATTTGATTCTTATACTTTCAATTTTTTCTGATAATGGGACACATTTCTAATTCACTCAGAAAGCTGTGTTCATCAAGTAGTTAATGTACTCTATCTGCACAAAACCCATTCTCCCATCACAGCAATACTCCCAGGTCCAGGTAGTTCACGACCTTTCCAGAAGCTCAGGGTGTGAACAGACTGACACCCAGGTCAACCCAGCACAGTAACTTCAGAGGAACAGTCCTGATGCAGTTGCTCATTTTGGAAGCACTGACAGTATCAACTGCTTTATGTTTACTAGCAATCACGTTAAAAATCAAGACAGCCTTGTATTAGGCCAATATTCCCACTACACTTTTCAAACAGTGATTGATTCCCCATCTAGATAAGACCTATCCTATGTTAGTTTTTTTTAATTACACTTAAAAACTTCAAAAATTTCAAATTACACACTTCTAACTTTAAAAAGGTTGATCAGACTCCTCTTAGTCTCAATGCTTTTGTTCATCTATTATTCCCCAGAAGAATATATGTATTTGCTGTTCTTGAGTCCTTTCCTCTGAAAAATACACGAAATCCAATAATCTGTCTAACCTGCCAATTTTCAGTGTTTTGCAGCCTTGGAAAGTTTCTCTTTTCCACTGTAGACTAACTTCAGTCTCATGTTATGATACGTGCTGGGTATGCATAAATGTCCCACCTTACCCCATCTGCCACTCATAAAGCATTTATTTCAATTCAAACTTACTTGACCACCGGAAAACGGACAGCAGATAGATTTCCAGCAGGCAAGGCCCTGACAATGACTGCAGGCAGGGTGGAAACCACATACACCGAGTTATGAACCAATGTAGTGTTCCTTTAGTAACAAATATAAACAGGATACAGAATCCGCGATAAAGGCTGATTTTGGAGATGTGCTGCTCTTCATGGCTCTCTGATAACAACCCCTCCTGAGGAACACTTCAAATTAAACAAGGATACCCAAAGGACTTCAGCTAAACCACAGACCCTAACAAGGGCTGAAAAATTAAGTGTCAGGCTGTGGAGGACAGAAAGACTGAAACAAGGAGAAACACAGTGGTAAAGGGTCTCTTAAGTAATAATGTTGATTTGAGCCCAGAGTTATTAAGAAATCATAGAAAATTTATGGGGTAGATAGGCAGTTTTTAATAATCACTCAAAGAACCTTTTAATGCAGTACTGTAACGATATAGGTCCTATGGGATTTTCCTTAGAAAAATACTATCTTTCTGTGCCATTGGAATTTTGAGATTTGTCATTCCTGATACAGATCATTTTTTACTAAGTTATTCATGGTCATTTATAAAAGTTTATCTTCCTGCTTTAAAAAACACTGTCATGCTTGCCAGTGTGAACTGGTTGCCAGATTTAATAAGAGTACATTTATAAACTTAACTTTCTTGAAATCTGACTGCTTTTCAATCTTCTCGAGTAATAATGCTTTTCATTGTCCTCTGAAAAAGATTCAAATAAGCTCTAGCAATCAGGGGTGGCTTTGAAAGTGTGACCCATGAGCTTGGGGATGTTTTCAGAAAGACACAGCTAAGATTTGTAGCCATTGAGGTATTCACAAAAGATAATCATCTTATGTAACAAAGTGTCATTCTTCTTTGCTTCTAGATTTACTTGGATTCAATTTTGTGAAGTTTTCTTGGCCAGGTATGGTTAATTTTATTTCTTCAAGAGAATGAATTATAAATGTGACAGAACCCTAAAGAATTTGCCATAAAAATATTGCAAGAATGACTTTTCAAGCACAACAATCAAGAGGATGCAGTATCTGCTCTACCATTCACAAAGAGATGTATATCTTCCTCCATATCCTAGCTTATCGTTCAGTGGTAAAATGATAAAAAAATGCTCATTCTTTTGACAATGGGTTATTAAAGGTCAAGTTTATTAATATGTCCAGAAATCCTCTTATTTCCACTTGGCCCTCTGAGAGCTTCACCTCCTGGTAGGTTTCAAGTTCAAGTTCATCTATGAGTCAACAGTAAGAACCTCAAGAATCAAGTGCAGACAATAAACATGTCTACGATGTAACAGGAAAGAAGAATCTCCGATTATTCTGTGTACTGCTTAGTACAAGGAGCTTTGAAGATGTAAGCTCAGGATGCTACTTAAAGCTTCGATGCTGGTTACCATCACTGTTAACACTAGCCAGAGGGTGCCTGTCTGATGAACCTCAAGGAGCTCACAAAGCTCATGTGGCTACTCACCGATGCTGATCAGGTACCAGGTGAGGGGGCCAGACCCGGGAACGGAAAGGCTGCTGTCCTAGCTGCCGTTGTAGGTCCGGTGGGATCTCGGCTGTAGGGTTGGTCATGGCCAGTGTATGTCTTTTGGACCTATTTGCCAAGTACCTGCAACAAGCAGGAGCACATTTCATAGTAAAAAAGACAGACAGGAATATTCCTCAGCAAGAAGCATTAGAAGTTAATCTAAAGCACTCAGAATGAAATAGTGCCAGAGCTCAAAAAGGATCCATGGCAAACAGATCCCTGACTGGATGCAAGTGAAGCATGTCCAACTGGCCAGCAAAAGTTGGCTTATCATTGAAGTGGCTGAATTTTGGACATAAGAGCAGCCATTAAAGAGAAGAGAGAAAGCAGATGTAGTTCATACAGACTAATTTTCCTTATTTCATTCCATTCAACAGAAGAATTCGTTTCCTACTTGTTAATTTTATCGCACTCCCGCCCACTAAATTTCAAAAATGTAAGTTGTATAATTAGGATGTTGGAATGTTTAAAGATGTCCTGGAGGTTCCGAAGCCTCTCCTCATTTTTTTGAATTCTTGTTTCTACATTCTTTTCTGTTTGGTCATTTTTTTCCCCTCTTTCTGGTCCACTCCTTTGATTTGAGTCCCAGTTTCCTTTCCATTACTACTGGTTTCCTGTGCATTTCCATTCATTTCAATTAGTTTAGCCTTCATGCCAGAAGGGGAAGAGGAACAGCCATGAGTGGAAAACTTATGTGAACAAATAATAAAGGAAAATTTCCTCAATCTGGCAAAGGAAATAGATGTCCAGGAAATCCAGGAAGCTCAGAGAGTACCAAAGAAGGTGAACACAAGAGGGAACACACCAAGGCACATCATAATTACATTAGCCAAGATTAAAATGAAGGAGAGAATCCTAGAAGCAGCAAGAGATAAGGGGACAGTCACCTACAAAGGAGTTCCCATCAGACTGTCAGCTGATTTCTCAAAAGAGACCCTACAGGCAAGAAGGGGCTGGAAAGAAGTATTCCAAGTCATGAAATCCAAAGACCTATATCCAAGATTGATCTGTCCAACAAAGCTTTCATTTAGAATGGAAGGACAGATAAAGTGCTTCTCAGATAAGATCAAATTCAAGTTCATCATCACCAAGCCCTTATTATAAGAAATGTTAAAGAGACTTACCTAAGAAAAAGAAGATAAAAAAGATGAACAGTGAAAGGACAGCAAACTCACAGTTATTAAGAACCACACCTAAAGCAAAAGCAAACTAAGAGGACAGCTAAATCAGGAGCAGAACCACAGAAATGGAGATCACATGGAGGGTTAGCAACAGGGGAGTGGGAGATGAAGAGGGGAGGAGGTACAGATAATAAGTAGCGTAGATGGTAGGTAGAAAATAGGGGAGGGCAAGAATACTATGGGAAATATAGAATCTAAAGAACTTGTGACATATGGACATAAACTAAAGGGGGAATGGTGGGGGAGGGGTGTGCAGGATGGAGGGGAATGAAGGGGGAAATAGAACAACTGTAATGACATAATCAATAAAATATATTTTTAAAAAGTTTTTCATAATAAAAAAGTTTAAAAAGAGAAAAAAATGTAAGTTGGAGAGAATGAGCCCCTAAGGACTATTTCTAGAGATGAGCCAAGGGAGATATTAAGAAGGGTTCCACATACATTTCTGGATCCCACTGGTCCCCAGGTTTTGAGAATGACCTCCCTACACATCTCAGAAAACAGATCCTTCCATTCAGGGACAGTAAATTCCAAAACCACCCCTTCCCTCATGCCCCTGACTATAACTCGATCATCAGAGAAGACAAACTGATACTGTTCTTTGGCAACCAACATTGTCTAGAGAATGAAGAAATGAAACCACATGAAATGTTTACAATTGTTTTAAGGGGGTAAAAAGGCAAGGCAAGAAAACAGAAGTTTCAGAAGTTGAAAAGTTGACAAGCTGATGCTTTTAATCTGAAGATCTTTCAAATCTGTTGTGTGGTCCATACCAGTGGGAAGACAATGAACCCCCTACATCTGGTTGATTCTTTTCTCTACCACTGCTTGCTGTTTTGGGGTATGCATGAAACAAGCGCTATTCCTTTTCAATGCCTCAAAACTAATGGGCACTATTTTACTCTTTGAATGTTGGTCTAAAGAAGAAGATGAGGCTCAAGGAAGTAAAGTCCAAGGCAAAGAAGATAAAATGAAATATTGCTGTGTATTAAAGTAGGGAGGCAGTTAAGTTTCCTAATTTATCTTGAGGACACCAGCAGGACCCATTTGCAACTTCATATACCCAGTTTGTTATCAGCAAACTACAGAAACGATAGCATCAAAAGAAAAAGTTACCATGATTTTTCTTCTATTGGCTAAGCTATAGAAGGAGCCAACACTCCCTGTTCTCCACTACTCTTTTCACATGGGACCAGTGTCTTTTTTAACAGCAGCTTTCATACAGAGCTACTGGGGTAGGAAGAGAGTACTAGCTAGGAACCATTAGGTTCTTAAAAAGTGGTCTTGCTTCATTCGTAACTACTTTGCCCCTTTAAGCTAAAAAAGTTACCAGACTATAGAGTTTAATTAATGGTATATAAAATATTAAACTTGAAAAAGAGTAAGCCATTAGCAGTTTAATATCCATTTGATAAAGACACCCAAAGTTTTCCCAAGAGCCCATGAAAACCATTTTATTTTAATTCCCCTCAAGGGAAAAACATATAATCTTGAAGAATACCTGTATTTTTGGGAAAATACATGCTGGCTTCTGGTCAAACCCCCCCTCACAGAAAATAAGAACGGTAACTCCTTCAAAGGGGCATGCATGGAGCTGAGGAGCGTGGCTGATGGAACTGAGGTGAAATGAATAGTACAGCATGCTTGATGGTCACTGCTGTTTTCTGTGAATCAGGCATCACTCAACAAGGCTCTGTGAACCATGGACATCTGCATCTGCCCTTGGCCCAAATCCAATATTCTTTTTCAGTGTCTTTTTGTTGGTACAAGGAGATGGAAGAAGCACACAGCAAACAGTACAAAAGGTATTCATTCTCCTGGAAAGGAAGTCCATGCCAGAGGTCCATGGCCAGACTAGCTAGGATCTCTGTCATATCCCAAATTTCCAATTTCTTTTCAGTAAGCAGTTCTTGGTAGGGAGGAGAGGGCTTTGTGCCTTGGGAGTACTATTAGAGTTGCAATATGAGGGCATGGAGGCAAGGAAGAGAGGAGGGAAAAAGTTCTTATGGTTAATACTATCATATAGGGGACTTCCAATGGTGCTTACAGAAATGAAATTTTCTGGGTAGTCTTCTATTATTTCCATGAGGGAGGTACATGCCATCTGGCCTGAGCATAAAGACCACACAAATGTTGTAGTTGTACTGTAATGCCTCCTTGGGCAGACGTGACTGTTCACTGGTTGCAGAAGGAGCCTGCCCAAGGACGTTCTGTGAGCACTGCCACATGCCACATTACCTCTGCACAGCTTCCTGATCAGGCTCCCCATCTGAGCTCTCCTCGTCCACAGGGGTAACTGCTGGCACTGCCTGAAAGGAGACAGAAAGAAAAAGCTCAAAGTGGTGCTTCTTCTGGAAACTCAACTTGGGGCAAGTCTCTCTGTTAATTTTCTTATTTATAAAACTTTTCTTAGGACCTCCGAACTATTCAGAACTTTCATATGTCTTTCTATTTTTCCATTTTTATCTTGATCAGGTGATTTTAATTTTGATTTCTTCCTCTGATTCATCTTCATTCATTCATCTATCAACAAAAAGCTGAATACCTACTCTGTTCCGAGATAAAATGTGAGTTAACAGATGTAGTTCTTGCCCTTGCTTTATAGTCTAGTGCAGGAGAGGGAGAAGTAAACAGATAATTTCAAAACAGCATAACCAAGTACTCTATGGGCCATATGGGAATCAAGGAAGGCATCTTGGAGGAGGTAACACATAACCTGAGACCTGAAAGATGAGTAGGAGCTAGCTAAGCAAAGAAGAAAAGGTGCCATAAGCCTCTGGGGTTTCTAGGATGAGAGAAAAAGGCCTGCAATTATGTGAGGACCTGAAAAAACAGAAGCTGCTTGTTTACTTGGACTGAGAAGTGACCTTTTATTGCGTATTAATGCTATTTCCAGAGTTCAAATGTCTTTAACTCCAGAAAGGCAGGATAGTTTTTTAAAAGCACATAACACACAATTGTGCAATTGCAATTCAATGCTTTAAAACTGCTGTTGCCCACCAAAATATGTAAATGAAATGAGAACAATAACAATATATGCTTTAATGTGACTCTTCCCACTGCTTATGCCCTGGAATGGTATGTATTCTTGATAGTTACCAACAGCCTTGTGGTTCACATAATCACCATGTTTCAGGCACCAGAGCAAAAACCATCCTTCACTGATTTTGAAAGAGCATTTTTTAAATGGATAACAATTATAAATCAAAATATTTTTTGGACTAATCTATTGTTTCAATGTTTCTAGGATTTCCAGATCTCTCATTATAATTCTGATTACAGAATGGCAAAAATAGGATTAGGCAGAAAGTATGTCTATAAATGACACAGAAGAACACTGTGGCCAGTTATAAATGACCTTTCATCTCACATTAAAAACTTTATTTTGAGGAAGGGGCAGTGGTAAGCTAGAGTGATTTCTTCAAAATCAAACAAACAAAAAGATTTTATTTATTTATTTTTAGAGAGAGGAGAAGGGAAGGAGAAAGAGAAGGAGAAACATCAATGTGTGGTTGCCACTTGGGAGCCCCCTACTGGAGACCTGGCCTGCAACCCAGGCATGTGCCCTGACTTGGAATTGAATTGGAGACCTTTTGGCTTGCAGGCTGTCACTCAATCCACTGAGCCACACCAACGAGCGCCCACTGAATGATTTCAAGCAGGGACATGGTGTTACAAGATTTGTACTTTAGAAATCTAGCTTACTTTAGTACTGGAAAGTATTGGTGGCAGGACAGTTAGGAGGTCACTGTATTGATGTAGGCAAAGGATGACAATGGCTTAAGGTAGGGCAGTGAAGATTGTTTTATAGATATTGGATAAATAATGTGATATGGGGAATAAGGGAGAGGGAAGACTTAAAGACAAAGTCAGCTTGTGTAACCAGGAGAGTGACAGTGATATTCACTGTCACTCTGGAAGTGAAACAGGTTTCAAAGAGCCAAGACAAGTTCATTTTCGGACGACTGACTAAATCTGTAGGGTATATATATATATATATATATATATATATCTGTATTTCTATCCCAGAAGAGCATGCTGTGCTGCAGAATCACCTGGTAACTTAAATTATGAGCGTGTACAAGGTTACTCAAAGTATGTAAAAAGAGATGGAAATAGGGCATAAGATAAAAATTATGGATTTCACCAACTTCAAGAACAAGCAGAAAGGGAACCTGAAAAGAACAAAAGAAAATATTTCAAAGAGAAAATGGTCAACAGTGACTCATAAAGTTGGGAAGTCCAAAATGACAAAGATTAAAAATGTCCACTGGACTTATCATTATCAAACAAAAGCTTGTTACTGACCTTGCCATAAACATTCACAGTAGGCAGAGTATCACTGAACCTCTCATAAAAGGGTTCCCGATCCTCTGTAACCTGCTCTGATCTGGCTGTTCCATGAATGCTTCTGCCACCTACTTACTTGTCCATGGTAAGTATTCACTCTGGCACTTAATCGCACATGGTTTTTTGCTATTATTCCAATACTTCACATATGTTGATCTTGTCTTTTCACATCACAAACTCAGTAAGGCCAAGAACTACAAATACAATTCTCTTTCCTTCGCCTGACAGTACTGTCACAGAAGGGATGGCCCATGGACCTGAGATAATCCACCAACTGTTGTGTTACTAATCCATGATAAGGTTAAGTGTGGAAATAAAGAATAAGATTTTAATAATCTTAAAAAATAGAAAGTAAGATTTTAAAGAGCTATGGATACAATTACTACCCAATCTTAAGGTACTATGAGATCGAGTGAACAAATGAATAAATGAGTGACTTTACCTATGACAGAATAACCAGAAACAAACGGAACCCAGGGGCAGAGGTTTGAATGTAACCATCACATAAAAAAGAGAGACACCAAATGACCAGGTTAACACTTGTGAAAGTTAATCAAGTATTCCAGGTTGTACCAAAAATGCAAGGTATTGTTAATCAAAGGAGAAAGGGTTGGTAAGGTAACTTTGGAAACCAATCTAAAAAGTAATTTATTACAGAGAAAACTGTTAGATTCCACTGCCCTCTGGCAGGGTGGCAGAGGTACTTAATGAAGGTACAAGTGGCCCACTCTGGATGAAGCTCTCCTGAAGCAGGCTTCAGTGTAGAAATTATTTGGTTAAGAAAAGAAGTTAGCTAAAAATAGACATAGGAAAATTCTGCTAGCCTGAGGAAAATGGGGATACACTGAGCACCTTAAGTTTAGAGAAGGAAATTCAGACATTTAGGTGGAAGACTCTGGTCTCCCAACCCTGGGCCCACAGCTTCATTATCCAAAGCATCTGAGAGAGTAAGGTGGGCTCTGTGCGGCTACTCACTGGTGTCATGGTGACGAGTGGGGAGGGTCCCCGGGGGCGCTTCAGTAGCTGCTGGGCATGGAGCTGGATGTTGGCTCCTCCGTCTGATGCCCTCCGGCCAAGGGGGCCCATTCCATTTAGCAGCTGTAGTGGGGGCGGCTGCAACAGGGACTGCTCCTGTTGAGAGTGCAGTGGGAAGGACAAACTGGTGAGGTAGGGGGGTAGGAGGAGAGAAAACAGCAGGACTCTGACCTACTGAAATAAAGGGATCTTTTGATTGTGATAGAGACTAATCTTCCCTCTTATCCAAGATGTGCTGCAAGAGAAATTTGTCCTTCTCTACAAGAAAACCCTTAAATCCTGGGGAAGGTCTCTGAATCTCTCAAAGGAAGTTTAAATGTGTTTCTTCTGGGGCAAGCCCTCTCCCATTTCAGGTACCTTGTACTCAAGCTGCCCAGTTGGTTGCAAATTTTGCATGGGCAACAGGTTGTGCATGAAGCTCATGTTAGGGGCCACCTGTAGGAAAGGAGCCTGTGGGTTGACTCCCGGAAAGCCAGGGAGGAGCTTCTGCAGATCATCCATAACTTCCGTGCTGATAAGAAACAGGACGAGAGAGGTTTCGTTAATATTCTTACTCAAAAGTGCTATATCCCAAAACTGTCCCCAAAACTGATGAAACTGGTAAGTGCAGTACATTTTATTTTATTTTTGTTTTATTTTTTACTTTTCTCCTAAATTTCCCAAAGCAAGTAGAAGCTCAATGTGTGGCATTTGGCTCTCTGCCACTTGGCTATTTGGAACTGGGAAATGCTGTTCTTTATTGACCATTCATGCAAAACCGACAGCTCTGAGCCAAGAGGAAATACTGGCATCAGTCCTGTTCAGGTCTGCAGAGTCTGGGGGAGAACAGCAAGTTTCTGGAGGACACAGGCCACCCACTAAAGCAATGGCTGCCTGAGGCAGCAACTGATTCGCCATGCAAAGAATGCAATTACTCCTGTCAGTGCTGATGGGACAGATAAGCAGTGGATGTGCAGGGCTGTCCTACTACAATGGTAGGATTTACAGCACCCTTTAAAATAAGGGATCTTTCCACTAGTAGACCCACACTGCTGACATAGTCTTTGGAGCCAAAATGTTTCCCTATTGCCTGTTTGAACATAGGCCAAGAATGAGAAACATAAAGCAAGCAAATCAGCAGGCCTGCAGATGGTTTTTGTAAATCACTCAGAGAAAAGAGGTATTTATAAGAAAACTAGCTTTGCCCCATTTGAACTCCCAAGAGAATTCTTGACACAACTTCTTCTCTCAATAAAGGAAATATTCAGAAAAGAGGTAAGGATATTTTTAATGCTGAGAGTCTTCAAATGCAAAATAAAAAAGGAGAGAGCCGGCCTTCAGGTCATTTCCCCAGTGTGGGGGCATCAGGAATATACTAAAGGACTATTCTGGGAAAATACTTTGGGAAACCAGTATTTATTCAGTGTGTTTTGCAATTCTTGTTCTCTTAATTTAATTTGTAAATCACATTGTATCATTTATCCTTATTTCCTAGACGAGTCTTGCTTTAGAACATGTAGCCAACATCTCTGGAAATAGCCCAAGTCAGGTGAATTTTAAGGGGCGCCCCCACGTGACTTAAGATGAGACGACCTTGATCTTTGTGGGCAGAGACTATAACACTACTCACCAAAGGGTTGTGATTGATTGGTATGATTTTGGCTATAGGTCCATCATCCATTAGGAACAGCTCTGTAATTTTTTAATAAATCTGTTCTGATCTAACCAGGGACTCTGAACTAGGTTAAAAAACCTGTCTTGGCCACTGAATTATACCTCATCTGGGAGACACAATGAAGTAGGGAAAATGCACCTAGGTAGGAACTCATAATCAGATAGAAATTCTTTGCACTGGTGTTAATTAGGGCTGCTGGTCAGATACTCACCGTGGATCAGCCACACCCACTGTGTGCCTCCTCATCGACAAATAGCGAACCAATGCTTCAGGAGAAGGCTCTTCGCCTTCATCACTGTCCAAGTTCACTGTCCCATCCGGCTGAGATGGAGGAAAACACAATTAAATTGGAAACGAGAAGTAATCAGAAATAAGAAGTAAGGAAAGGAAGCAAGGATATGGTAAAGAAAGTGATTTCAGCTGATAGCTATTCAGAGGTTGCTACTTGCCTCCACAATTTGATTCTCTGGGTTGATCAGCTGCACCTGTGGAACACTTATGTTCATGGTGGTACCAGCCTGTTCTGTCTGGAAAGCAGTATACACAGACACACACATTACTTAAACACTAGAGGGACATGATGGTCCTTCAAAGTATTCTTGACTGCTAAAGTCTATGTTTCTACCTTTGAGTCTTTGGTTCCTCTGCTCTTAGAAACTACATTAAAAAGGCAATTTTTAGAGATGATAGTCTTTTTCAATGATTGTTGTTTCTTAAAAAAAGCAAAACAAAAAAACCCACCAAAAACCAAAACCCAATTGAGTACTCAAATACCCTTTTGTCTTCTCTAAGAAAGATTCAGATCTTTGCTTGATCTCTGACAAAAGAAGAGATGATAAGTGGATGGGACAGAGCTAAGAAAGAATAAGAAACTCTCAAGAGTTAGTGAGCAATGGCTATCTGCCCTCTGCCCCCTGGCCCCAATGTTGATTGTCCTGAATCTGGTCATTGGAGTTACTGCCCACCTGGATATTGACTGGTGCTTGAAACGCCATGGCTCGAGGCATGCTAGGAGGTGCTCCGACACGCAGGGTTTTATGTCTCTTATGTCGATCACACAGTAGACTGTAGATAGCACTATAGTGATCATAGGCATCTGATCTTAATGACTACCAACAGAAAAATGGAAAAGAGTACAAAAACCCTGGTGAAATAGCATGTCCATGACCAAACCTTTCCAACAGTAACAGTAGAAGACCAAAGCACCTTCTTTCCAAGGCCCAGAAAGGGGTAAGAAGAACAGGAGGAAAACAAAAAGACCCAAGTTCCTGATGGTTGGCAGATGGGGGTGGGGGGTGGAGGGATGGGTGAAAAAAAGTGAAGAGATTAAGAAGTACAAACTGTCAGTTACAGAATAGTCACAGGGATGTAAAATAAAGCATAGAGAATACAGTCAATAATAACTATGTATGGTGTCAGATGGGTACTAGACTTACTGGAGTGATCACTTTTTAAGTTATATAAATGCCTAATCTCTATGTTGTATACCTGAAGCTAATACAGTGTTGCATATCAAATTTTTCAATTTTTTAATTTAAAAATTAAAAAATTCTTTAAATAAAAAAAAACCCCAAGATCCCAGAAAGGAGAAAAAATGAGAGAAGGCTGAACGAAGGGAGTATAACTACATTTCACTTTGTTCTCCATTCTTCTAGAGATACCTGTAGTGTCCGCTCTTTGTCCAGTCCCATGTCTTCCATGGCCAAGAGGACATCCTCATTCAAAGAATCTGTCTGTCTTTCTTCCTTTAGCTGTTGGCATTCTGCTATTAGCTGTGACATTAAAAAAAAAAAAGGTAAGCTATCAAATCCCTACTTAGCCATATTAAGAAGACATATCACATATGTATATCATCACATATTTATTCCCTGTCCCCTAGCTTGGGATATTTTTGGCCTCAGACAAAGTCTAAGCAACAAAGCCCTGGGTACTCAGCTATGAATAGACAAGATTCTAATTTTTCTGAGCAACTTTGGGGTACCAAGGATAGCCATAATGGTTTAAATAAAGGTATGCTATAGGAACCATTGAATAAGCATACTAAGTAAGAGGAAGGAGACGTCCCCACGATGGATAAGCTGCAGAATTGTGGGCTGTACTGTCTCAAAAGCCAAAAGAGACTGATTTAGGGGTTAAGGGGTAGGAAACTGGTATCACTATGTAACAACTCTGCTGGTTTTCAATTCCTACTTTGCTCCTTGCTTAAGTAATACACACGAGTTTGTTCCCAGTGCTACCTTTTCATGTCCTGGTCTGATTATAATTTCATGCCAAAGAGATTGCAGTCGTTCTGAGAAGAGTTCCTTAAAGCTCCCTGCTCACCCTGTCAAAGTTGGGATCGGTGTCCCCCAGCTTCATCCACTTGTGCTTGCAGATCTGCTCCATGGAGAGGCGCTTACTTGGGTCCAACACCAGCATGTGACGGATCAAGTGCTCACATTCTGCAACAGACAAAGAGCCCACCCTTCACCTTGGGGAGGGAGAAACCAGTGGTGCCTCTAGTGAGGCAAGGTGAACAGGGAGATTTTCCTTGCTTCTCATCTGTCTCTTCTGCTCCTTGATCCTTACCTATGTCATCACTTACTCCAGAAGGGACTGGGCAAAGGCAGAAGAGGTGGAGAAAAGAGAAATTCAAATGTGGTTGTCTCGTGAATACCTTTACTAATGGTCTAATTAGAAAAAGTTTGGGGATAATCCATTATAAACAAATTCATTTACTTATATTACACATGGTCCAATTTAACACAATTGATGAAGAGTTGAATGTCCTTGGAAGAGATTCAGTATCTTACAAGGACCTCAAAATAGTGAGTTCTTTCCTGCTCAATGTATTATTATGTGTACACTAATGCTTTTAGCTTAGGTGACCAAAAGCTCTCTTCAAAACTCAGGGATTAAAATTTGTAATGGCTCAAGGTCAGGGAAGATGGGCACAAGCACAAGATGCCTCCCTACCACACACTGAGACTCTTTGAGAGCCTTATTTATAATTTTCTCAATGTTGTTTGAACATTTACAGGTGCATACAACTGGACTCAGAGCTTCAGAGTCAGATCAATAGATATTTCTCTCTAGGAGCTCAGACTACATAATATATTGCTGAAAGGATAACAGATTCAAAATAAGAAGCTTATATTTTGATTTAAAAACCACCCTCTAAGTTTTTTGTAAATTGAAGGTATTGAGGATGATGTGAGAGTAGTGCTTGTGATAAAGGTGGTGGTGATGATGATAATAAAAACAGCATTATTAACATTCTTCTGAGCACTTTATAATTATGATTACCTCATTGAATCCTCACAGCAATCCTAGGAGAAGGGTACTATCATCATTCCCATTTCGAAAATGGTAAAAATTCGGCACAGAGAAGTTAAAAAACTTGTCCAAAGTCACATGGTAAGTCAGATTTCAAATGAGACATTCTGCCTATTTGGTGCTCTTAACCACATGCTACACTGCCTCTGTAATGCACAGAGCTGTGGACAGGACAGAAACTTCTGAACTATTCTTGCAATATCTTCATCCAAGCCACCATCATCTGTCACTTAGACTATTGGCAAAAGTCTCCTAAATTGTTTTCCTGCTTCCACTCTTGCTCCATAGAGAAGCAAAGGGGCTATCTCTAAAACATAAATCTGAGCATATTCCTGCCTTGCCTACAATTCTCCAAACTTCTCATAACCCTCAGAATAAACTTTAAAGTCCTGGGCCTACAGTCTTAAGCCCCTGTCTCTGACCTCATCTCCTGTCACTCTCCGCTTGGCTTGCTGAGCTCCATCTAGCTGCACTAGCATTCTTCCTAGACTATGCACATGCTTAACACACTCCCACCAAAGGCCTTTACACTTACTGTCTGCTTTAGTTGCAATCACTGCTCCTCTGACCTTCACATGGTTGGCTCCTTGTCATTCAGGTAACAGCTAAATGTTACTTCCTAAGAAAGCTCTTCCCTGACTACCTGAAGTAGGCCACTAGTCACTCTCTTTTACATCACACACTAGTTTCTTAACACTAATGATTTTGTGACATTATCTTATTTATTTACTTGTTTATCGTCTAATTCCCCCAACACAATGTAAGGTCTATGTCTTTTCTACTGCTATGTCCAGTACCAAACCTCCAATGCCAAAGACGGTCATTGTACTTATAGAGGCTGAATCAATATCTACCAAATATATGAACAAATAAATATTTATGGAACATTTACTCTAACTAAACAAGATTGGATTTGTGAAAATGCTTTTTAAAATTATAACATTCTGTAAGATATAGCTTTAAAATTTTCTGTTTCTATTTCATTACAGCTGTCCTCAAAACTGGGCAGTAATAACAATAAGTTATTGCTAATTTAAAAAAATTCTTTATATAGAAGGCACCATGATTCCTAACTTTATTTCATTTCATCTTCACAACAACTTTAAACTAGAGACTATTATCAGCACCATTTACAAAATAAGAAATAAGTTAAAATCAACATTGCAAAGTAATTGCAGAGCTGGGACTTGAGAGCTATGCTCATCTATCCTATTATACATCTTCATATGGATATAAATTCTGCTTGATCCATTTTCCCAAAGTGAATTCAACTGCACAATGCCACAATTTCTGCACCATTTGGCAAACACTATTCTATACTGTCATCTTGAAAGAAATACTAAGAGTAATTAAGGCAAATTACTCTTAATTTTTAATTTATCCTGACTTAGGAAATAAAACAAAGTCCTAATATTAAAATGATTTTTAGAAGGCATTAATTTGGTCTTGCTTTACGACTAAAAGTATATTCAAATGCAGCATAGATCCTAAAGCCTGAGGTTGCTACATCCTTTAAAAACAGAGGAAATGCTATCTAAACATCAAGCTTCCATTAAAATTATGTTTTCAGAGTAGTAAGAATAGACTCCACAATCGTAGCATCTGAATAAGTTTTAAGTATCACTGACACACACCTTTATGGTCTGCAATTACTTGAGAAAAAAAAAGTTCTCAATTTAGAAAATTACTAAAGCTAAAAGACCTCTGTGTAGGTAGCAGGCCTGGGCCTGATTCCAAAGATGTGGAATTGTCATTAGGGCCTCTAGATGGCACTCTTCTGTTTTCTTTCAGTTTCCATACATCCTTAGTGTAGAAAAGCCCTATTAGTCCTGATTCAAATAAGCAAGGTCAAATGACATTCAGTCACAGGCCTGATTTAAAAGAGATTTTTAACAACAATTTCCTTAAATACAAAGTAAATCAATACAATACTATCACAATATGTTATGATTAGAAAACATATCTAGTTCAATTTCAGGATCTTGAAACTTCTATCTAGTCATTTGTAACCATTTTTTAGTATCAGATGCCTTGAAAAATCTCCAGAAAAATGCAAACAAGAATATACACACAAATTTGCATGCAACTGTAGGCTGTTTAGGAGCACACAAAGCATGCTATGGAGACCCTAGGTGTTTTATGGATCCCAGGTTAAGAACTCCCGGAGCAGTGTCAATACCTGAAGACTGCAGCTTTCACCCTGTGTGCCCTCTGTAATTTCTAGCAGGCAAAGGAACAGAAATCTTCACATGTTGCACAGATGGTAAAATATGACAAAATACAGAAAGCCAGAGTACAATCAACTCTTACTTCCTGTCATAAATAGCTCATGAAATTAAATTCAAACTGGATTTGAACGCACCAATATACATAAAATGAAAGAGGGTGAAAACAAAGGGAATAAAATGCTCTCAAATCTAAGAGAATCAACCACAGAACAGTCAATTCAAATGAGTGGAAAGAAACTGGGGCTTCAGATCAACTGTTCTAGATACCAAGAAGTACTCTATTTTAATGTCAATCATGGCTCTATCACTTGTTCCCGGCCCAAAGGCAGTCTTTAATGATGAATGAAACTGAAGCACTTTGGGCGATGCTGGAATTTGCTGCTCTGCCCTTCAGGGGCAGCTTCCATTTGCTTTGTGCAAGACGTCAAGAGGTCTCTGTTCTGGGTAGGGTACATCACTGTGGGCCTGTGAAACTTGATCCAACAACAGCACATTAGCTAGAGGATACACACAGCTCAGGCTCTGCCCTGTGCTTCTGACAAGACATCTGAATGACTGTGGTGAGAGATGCTGTGTGGGCAGGGTCCTAAAATGGGAATTGAGATTGCCAGTGTAATTCCATCCCAGAAGGCCAGGTCTTTAGCATCTTTTTTTCATTTTGGATTTGATACTAAACAACTTTCTCTAAGAAGCTGATAGTATTTGGACTCGGGGGTAAAAAATAAAAGCCGTGGAAGGGGGATTAAAAATCAACTTCAAATTCACCAAAGACAGAGGTCTGTCTCTAGTTTCCAGGCTAGAAAAAGAAATAGATTAACTTAACAATTTCTTGACGAAAACTTTAAAAATATGGTCCTTGAAGAAAAGTTAAAGGCAATGAGGCTGATTTTTTTGGGAAGAGAGGTGTATGGCAGGAAGGAGCATACTGGTTACTCAAGTATCTGAAAGAGTTTTATAAAGACTAAGTGGATTCATACTGTGCTGCTGCTTCGGGGGCGTGCAGCATTTGGAATAATTAGGAAGTAACAAGTTCAATTTAGGAAAAATCTTTCTAATTATTAGAGTTGATCCAAATTACTAGGCCAGGGTCCTAAGGAATGAGTAGGGCCTCGTAAGGAAGGAGAGGAGGTAGTCAACTGAGCAGGGCCACACCTGGAGCACAGCTAATTTTATCCATTTTATAGACTAGTGTTCTGAACAAGATTTCATGTAAAAAGTTGAGTCCAGGAATAAATGGACAGAATGAACTCCTTGGTCCCCTCCAACTCTAAACCATGTGAAAAAGGAATGACTTATCCTATGAAATAGTGCACTTATTATCATTAGGAATATCTAATCAGAGGCTGACATTTGTCACTAGAAGGGCTTCTAGCAGTAGGTGTGAGGAAAACTGGGAGTCCTTAAAGCAGGGAGACTGTTGTTTCACTGTGTTGCAGATCCCCAGTGCCTTCTATAACACCTGATATATAACAGGCCCTCAATAATGCCAGGTGAAAGAAGTACTGGACTGGATGACTGCTACAATTCCTTCAAATAACTTTAATAATCAAATTCTATGAATCCACAACTTAATAAGCATTCTCCATGCTTCACGTTAGAAAAACCAGACAATTATCATTTTATAGAAGATTGAGATGTAGATTTGTTTTAGGACAAAAGCCTGGATCAGATGATTTCTAAGGCTCCCCATTGTAGCTTCAGAATTCTTTGTCTCACACAGAATACTTCCTGGCTAATCTTTTCTCAGGCTATACAGAATAATCTGTAAACCAGGTTGCCAGTTGAGGAGACATCTGCATGTTGGCATAGCCATAGCATCAAGGTTATGATATAACAAACCAAAACAACTCTTGGCAGGAAATTCTCCATATATCCTGTGGATTTAACTATATCTTTAG